GAGGATTTTAATCTAGTGACACTGAAGAACCAGTGATATATTCGCAAGTCAGGATGGTGAGTTCTTCAAAGGAAACCTGCAGATTGTGCTCAGAAACAAGAACAGAACCATAGAATCCTACAGTGTAGAAACAGGCCATTTGGCCCAACGGGTCCACACCAGCCTTCCAAAGAGAAACCCACCCAGACCCATCCCCCTACCTTATCCCTGGTAGCCCTGCATTTCCATGACTAACCCACCTAGCCTGCACATCCCTGAGCACTATGGGCAATTTAGCATGGCCAATCCACCTAACATGCAATCTTTGGACTGTGGGAGGAAACCAGAGCACCTGGTGGAAACCCACACAGACACAGGAAGAATGTCTATATGGAGTTTGCACAGACTCCATATAGCCCAAGGGTGGAATTGAACCCGGGTCCCTGGCTCTGAGGCAACAGTGCTAATCACTGAGCCACCGTGATGCCCAAAATTCGCTGGAGAAGTAGGTCTGGCAGCATCTGTGGAGAGAGAGCACTAGAGAGAGTGCATAAATATTTCATTTGTTTTATACTGTTGCAAATGGTGGTCTTAGGTTTCTGCTGCTTTTGTCCTTCTAGACGGTAGTGGTCATGAGAGTTGGAAGGTGCTATTTAAGGAGCCATAGTGAATTACTGCAGTGCAACTTGTAGATGCTACACACTTCTGAGCATTGATAGTACAGGGACTGAATATTTGTGGATGTGGTGCTAATTAAAAATGGGCTCTGTTTTAAATGCGGTCAAACTTTGATTTTTTTTTTGGATCTATAATCACCCAGGCATATTCCATCACATTTCTGACATGTGTCTTGGAGATAATGGGCAAGCTTTTGGAAGTCAGGTGGTGAGTTACACACTACAGAATTGTTAGTTTCTGCCTTGTTTTTGTAGCCAAAGCAGATATATAATTATTTCAGTGCAATTTCTGGTCAATGGTAACACCAGAATTTTGATAGTGGGGAAATCAGTCATGGTGGTGCCATTGAATTTCAAGGGGAGATGGTTAGATTCTGTTGTTGGTCATCGCCTCAATTTATGCAAATGTTACTTGCCACTGGTTCGCCTAAACCTCAATATTTTCCAGGTCTTGCCAAATTTGGGATGGACTGCTTTAGTATCTGATGAGTCATGAACAGTGCTCAACATGGTTTAGTCAAACATTCCCACTTCTGACCTTAGGATAGAGGGATAGTCATCGATGAAGCACCTGAAGATGTTTAAGCCAAGAACACTATCCTGATAATCTCCTAGAGAGGTGTCCTGAAGCAGTGATGATTGTCCTCCAACCATCCCCCTTTCTGCCAGGTATTTCTCCAACCAGCAGACAGTTTCCCTTAGATTCCCACCGACTCTGGTTTAGCTAGGGTTCCTTGACGTCACACTCGGTCAAAGCACCAAGATGTCAAGGGCTCTCGTTCTCTCCTCAACTCTAGAATTCATTTCTTTTATCCAAGTTTGGACCAAAATTGTAATGAAGTCCAAGGCTGAACCTCAGCTAAGCAGTGTGCAGGTTATTGCTAAGCAAGTGCTGGTTTATAGCACTATTGATGACATCACTTTACTGATGATAGAGAGTAAACTAATGGGGCGGTAATTAGCTAGGAACTTTTCCACGTTGTCAGTTAGATGCCAGTGATGTCAAGCTGTTCCCATACTAGGAGCGCAGCACGTTCTGGAGCACGTTAGTATTGCCAAAACGATATCAGGACCTGGAGCCTTTGTGGTATCCGGTGCAACCAATGTTTCTTGATATCATCTAAAATGAACTGAATTGGCTAAATACTGGCATCTATGATGCTGGGGATCTCTAGAAGATCATCCACTAGACACTTCTGGCTGAAGATTGTTATGAATGCTTCAGCATTATCAATTGCCTCTGACAGGCTGGGCAACCCCATTATTGAGGAGTGGGTGGTTGTGGAGCCTCCTCCTCCAGTGACTTGATTAGTTGTGCACCAGTAATCATGGCTGGATGTGGCAGGTTTGCAGAGCTTACAGTCGGATCTGTTGATTGTGGATTCACTTAGCTCCATCATTTGCTGCTTAGAAAAAACTAGGCACAGGTGTAGGCAATTCAGCCCCTCAAGCCTATCCACCATTTAATACAATCATGGCTGATCTTATCTTTGCCTCAATTCTAGTCTCATACCCACTCCCCGTAAACCTTCAACCCATTACTAATTAAAAATCTGTCTCCTCAAAATATCCTGATGTCCAATGCACCCTATATAAAGTGCATTCCACAGATGCTTCTCTAAGGGTTGTCAATCTTCTACTCCTAAAACTATGACCCCTTGTTCTAGATTTCCCAACAAGGGGAAACATCTGCTCTATATCTACTTTCTAATTAGCCTTCAGCATCTTATAAACTTCACTAGATTTTAGAAGTATGGGAGGAAATCTAGTGAAGTATGGATTGAAACTTCTCAATCTTTCCTTATTAGACAAGCCTTTCATCTCTTGAATACCCTGAGTGAACGTTCTGAACTATTTCCAATGCACTGACATCCTTCCTCAAATAAGGAGGCCAAAACTGTATGCAATACTCAAAAATCAATATTCCCTCAAAGCTTCGCACCTCTGCATATGGGTTGCCACTCTGCCATTCCATGCAAATTCCAAAAGTGCTGAAACACGTGGGCTTTGGAGGCCCCTGCAGCCATTAAAGGAAGTTAAAAGAACACTGCTCCACATGTGATCGCCCAATGCCTTTTACAATTGCAATATCACTTCCCTCCTTTTAGATTTTTAAGCCATGAACATCAAAATTCCATTTTCTCTCCTTCTTTCTTGCTGTAAGTGCAGACAAATTTTCTGCAATTCATGCACAAGGAGGCCCAGATCCCTCTGCACCAAAGTGTTTTGAAGTTTCTCTCCATTTAAATTAGTTGCCTTTTTAATTCTTCTGACAAAAATGGATAACCTCACTGTTATCCATGTTAAATGCCATCTGCCAAATTTTGGCCCATTCACCTAACCTGACCATATCCATTTACCAAAAACCAAAGAACTGTTCTGAAGTAGTTTTGAAAAAAACAAAAAAATGGTCACTGGACCTCAAACATTAACTCTTTCTCCACAGATGCTGCCAGACCAGCTGAGATTTTCAAAAATTTTCATTTTTTGTCAATTTCTTATTTTATTAATTCCCACCTTTTTAATGCCATCTGCAAATTTGGCTATTGTCCAATCTAGACCTGCATCCACATTACTAATATAAATTTTAAGTAGTTGGGATCCCGAGAACCGAATTCTGCAGTTCCCCGCTAACTTAGATTGCCAAACAAAAGAAGACCCATTTATCCTTTTTGTCTGGTTTCTATCGATTAGCCAATCTTCTATTCAAGCTAATAAATTACCCCTAACTACATATGATCTTACCTTGTGTGCAGTACCTTATCAAACGCCTTCTCGATGTCCAGATATACTACATCTGCAGGACCCCCATTGTCCACTTTGCTTGTTATATCTTCAAGGAACTCCAGCAAATTTGTCAAACATGATTTACCCTTCATAATACCATGCTCTAATGGATTTTATTTTGGCCTTCCAAAAGTCCTGTTTATTATTTCCCTAGTAATGGATTCTAACCATTAAACAATTTAGCACACAAGTAGTCCTGATTTGTTGCTTCACCAGACTGAAGCCTCATTTTCTCAGGAGAGCTCTTCTGCAATCTTCATTAAACCAGGCAGTGATCCTGGCAATGGTCGAGCAAAGGAAATGCCAGGCCATGAAGTTGCAGATTTTGTTGGAGTACAATTTGGCTGCTGCTGATGGCCCACAGCGTCCAACAGCCAAACTCTTTAGGACTCAACCAGCTCAGTTAGTAGCTATGCACATCAACAGATGGTGATTATTTTGTCAGGAACACAGTGTATAAAATACAAGTCTATGAATCAGGCTGTTGCTTGAAACGTCTGACAGATAGCTTTCCCCGATTTTAACACTAGTTCTCAAAATGCTAATAGTGAGGACTTTGAAGGGTCAACAGTGTTGGGTTTGCTGTTGTCATTCTGGATACCTTAGTTAACGCCAGGTGGTCCATCTGGTTTCAGCCTTTTTCCCTTTCTAGGGGTTGATACTACTGATTGACTTGCTAGGCATTTCAGAGTCCAGTTATAATCCAACCGGCCAAGCAGCATCAGAGGAGCAGGAAGGCTGACGTTTCGGGCCTAGACCCTTCTTCAGAAATTTCTGAAGAAGGGTCTAGGCCCGAAACGTCAGCCTTCCTGCTCCTCTGATGCTGCTTGGCCTGCTGTGTTCATCCAGCTCTACACCTCGTTATCTCAGATTCTCCAGCATCTGCAGTTCCCACTCTCTCTATAATCCAACCGCATTGCTGCGGGTCTGGAGTCACATATAGGCCAGACCAGGTAGGGATGACAGTTTCATCTGGTTCACCAGATGGGTTTTTAACATTAATTGACAATGGTTTCATGGTCATCATTAGATTTTTAATGAATTCAAATTCCACCATCTGCCGTGGTCGGATTTGAACCCAGGTTCTCAGCGCAACTGTTCGGAGGAAGTCACACTGGTTTCAAAATGTTAACTCCGCTTCTCTCTCCACAAACCTACTGCTTTTCTCTAGCATTTTGTCCCTAGATATTTTCTATGTCACTGGACTAGTAATCCAGAGACCATACCATTAGGCCTCATTTAATATCCAGTATTTTAAACACTCAAAAACCAATTTGACTGAGTTTTTAGCTATAGTAGTTCTGCTACAATGCATGTTTTGTTAACGCAAATTAGCTGTAATGCAATTGATGAATAGTGGATGCTGTTTGGATAATGAACTTTCGCTGTACAGGTATAGCAATTTCCCTATAATGCAATTTTCTATAGTGATTTCCTATAGTGCGATTTTCTATAGTGTGAGGTCACACAAGAACACAACTATCACATTACAGGAGAAGTACCTTCACTACCATGATACATTTTAAATGCACAGAGAAATAAAGCAAAAATGCATACCGTAATCGACTATTCTTCTCCAACCCTTTTATTATTTCCTCCATTGTAGCAATTAGTCTAGAAAATAAAAAGTATAAATCAATTGGACACAGATGTACCAAAAGTAATAATACTCTAGATTGAATCATCTTTAATTTTTTTTAATACCCTTATGAATAGCTTTAACTGGAGTTGTTAATCCTGGACACAACACTTCAAGGTGAATCAAGATGCATTAAGAGAAGTCCAGAAAAGACTCAAGAATCAATTTGGGGAGGAGATATCTCAATCACATGGACAGACTAACAAAGCTAGTAATTTTCCAAGAAAGCTGCAAGGAGATTTGATGGAGGAATTAAAAATCATGGAGGAGTTTAGTCAGAATAGATGTGGAGAAACTATTTCCTTTTGTGGAAGCGTGAGGAGCTGAGGACATATATTCAAAGTAACTGGCAAAAGAGGAAACTTAAGAATTTCAAAAGGAAATTTTAAAGCATGATATGAATGGGGTTAATCAGGAATGCACAACCCAACGGTGTGTCAATGCAGACTCATTAATAGCTTCTGAAGTGATTTATAGGGCTGTGAGAAAAAGGGGGGAGTGGTAGGGAGTCATAGAAAGCCAGTAAAACACAAAGGACTGAACAACTTCCTTCTGTTGTATAATAATTCGAGGATTTTAAAAACATAGAAAAGTTATGACAAAGAAAGAGGAAGGCATTTGATCCATTCTGTCTCTGGAGGCTATGCTGCTCAATCTCATTTTCTAACTATTGTTCCAGAGTCTTGTAAGTTATGACATTTTGAAGGCTTTTCCAAATTCCACTTTAAGTGTGAAGTGAGACTCTATCTACTATCCTTCTGCACAATAACTTCCAGGCCCCCAACATCCTCTTTGTCAAGAGAATTCTCCTCTGCTCCCCTTTAAATCTACAAATTATTTTAAATTCATATATCCTGGTTAATGATCTCTCTGCTACATGGGTCAAAAATAATGTCCATGTATGGCCTGTCCGAGCAAGACAAATACTTGGCCAATTAGAGCCCTATTCATCTTCTGCAAGTCGAAAGAACTGACCGTGTGCAGGACCGGGCTGTTAAAGGGAGTGGGGATGATCGTTATCCGCAAAAGGTTTTATATTTTCAGCATCTCAAATAGCCCCTCCTAAATCAAACTCCCACTACCCAACTTAAGTCGAGCCTTGTTTAGAACTGTGGACGACATCAAAACAAATATCTAAAGCCTAACCCCAAACAACTCTAGGTAGGCGGGGCCACATCAGCCTAAGTCCACAGTTTAACCAAGAGAAGGAAAAGGAATTTAAACTCCTAGCTTTGGGCCAAATAGTCAGACAGTGCAGAAGAACACAGACAATGCCAATGGACCAGATAGCAACAAAAAAAAAAAAAAATATCATCTTGGACAAGAGCAACGCCAGAATTAAAACCTACATTTTTTTGAGCTTCTGTGCTTTTGGGACACATGGCAACAGTGGAGCATTAGCTTCCTAGAGGGGGAAGGAAGTTGGCAAATTAGAGTACTAATTTGATTTGTCTTCAAAATGCAGCTCTAATATGATCACTGTTCTTTTTAAAACATTTTCCTCCTTCGGGATGCATAGAAAGCAGAGTAATTTCTGCAAAGCTGCATCAACCTTAGTATATTTAAATGTGAAAGTCATTCAGAAAAATCAAAGCAACCAACATATCACAGGGTTCCAAGCTAGATGTCAGGGGAAGGGAACAGGCAATGGATACAACTGGCAGCATTCGGTCATAAATTTAGAGATAGGGTGATGACTTCTCTTCACAGATCTGGGCAGTATGAAGCTCATAACCATTTGTTATTTTGCTTCAGGAAGGCAAGTGTTGCTCTCCACAAGACAATGCAAGGATCCTCAGAGGACTACCACACCGCTGAGCTCGTGACCTCATTACATCCTGTTCCAAACATGGACAAAGGAGTTGAATTTCAGAGGTGAGATGAGAGTGATTACCCTTGACATCAAGGTCTCATTTGACTAAGCATGGCATCAAGAAGCCCTAGCAAAATTAGACTTAATGGAAAAGCTCTTTGCTGGTTGGAAACTTACCTAACATAAAAGGAAAGTGATTGCTGTAGGTCAATTATCTCAGCTCCATGACATCTCTGCAAGTGACTCTCAGGCTAGTGTTCTAGGCCCAACTATCTTCAGCTGTTTCATCAATGACTTTCCATCATAAGTTCAGAAGTGGGCATCTTCACTGATGAGTAGAAAATCCTCTACACCATTCCTGACTCCTCAGATATTGACACAGTCCACATCTAAATGCAGCAAGTCCAAGACAATATCTAGATAAGGAGCATTAAGTGACTAGTAACATTTGTGCCAAGTAAGTGCCAGGCAATGACCATGTCCAATAGGATAGAATCTAACCAGCACCTCTTGACATTCAATGGCCTTACCATCAAGAATTCCACCACTAACAACATCCTGAGGTTTACTATTATCATAAACCAAACTGAACTAGCCAAAGAAATACTGTGGCTTCAAACAGCAGGTCAGAGGCTAAAGGCTAGGAATCCAGCAGTGAATAATTCAGGCCCTGACTCTACAAAGCCTATCTACCACCTACAAGGCACAAGTCAATACTCCCCATTTACCTGGAAGAGCAGCAACAATACTCAAGAAACTTGATATTATCCAGGGCAAAGCAGCTCTTCTGTTGGCACCACATCCACAAATACTAACTTACTCCATTACCAGCACTCAGTAGCATCAGTGTGCACTAAAAAATAGTCATACAAGAACTCTGGGATGTTGCTGGTGCCCTCGGCAATCAATTGTGCAGAAAGCATCAGCTGGAGGAGCTCAAATTCCGATTTTTGAAGCTGTCGGCATTACAACAGTACATGTATCTATCAGAAAAGATTGACGCAAGTGCTATATTTCTTGAGATAGCAAGAACTGCAGATGCTGGAGTCAGAGGTAACGAAGTGTGGAGCTGGAGGAATACAGCAGGCCAGGCAGCAGAGGAACAAGAAACGTGACGTTTCGGGTCAGGACCCTTCTTCAGAAATGACGAGAGGGAGGGGAGCTCAGAAATAAATAGACAGGGGAGGGGTGGGGCTGGGGAAGGTAGGTGGGATGGTGATAGGTGAGTGCATGTAGGTAGTGGTCGGGACTGGTCAGGGAGGTGGGAGTGGTGGATAGGTGGGAGAGAAGATGGACAGGTTGTGTCAGGTCAAAGAAGCATGGATGAGAGGGAGGGTAAGTCATGCAATGAGGCCAGGGGTGGGGAGATTTTGAAACTGGTAAAATCCACGTTTGGGCCATGGAAGTGAGGTGGAAATGGTCGAGAGTGTCAAGTTTCTAGGAGTGACAATAACCAACCTGTCCTGGACCACATTGATGTGGTCACATGAAAGCACAACACCACTTCTTCCTCGGGAGGCTAAGGAAATTCAGCATGTTCACAAGGACCCACACCAACTTTTGCAGAATGTTTTCTATGGTGCATCTAACTGAATGCATCACTGGTTGGTACAGAAATTGCTCTGCCCAAGACCAGAAGAAACTATTGAATGTTGTGAATACAGCTCAGACCATCATGCAAGCCAAATGTCCCATCCATTGACACCATCTTCACTTCTCATTGCCATGGAAAGGCAGCCAATATTATCAAAGGCCCCTCCCATCCCAGTTATAATCTCTTCCAACTTCTTTCATCAGAGAGGAAATACAAACACTTAAACACACAAACAGGTTCAAGAACAGCTTCTTCCCTGCTGTTATTAGACTGCTGAATGGACCTCAAATTTCAAATCTCATGTTGAACTCATTTTTTTTTTGTACATCACCTATGCAGCTGTAACTTTGTTTGCCTTGCTCTGGTCAATCACCCTATGATCTGTATGTCCTTGTATGTTATGATCTGCCTGTACTGCATGCAAAACAAAACTTCACTGCACTTAGGTACATGTGACAAGAAAAAATTAAATAAAAAAAAAGAGGTAGGTCAGGTTAGTAGTGTGGTTAAGAAGGTATAGGACGTCACTTGGTTTTAATCGGTTGTGGCATAGATTAAGAGCAGAAAGGTTATGTACAGGACTTTGGCTAGGCAACAGCTGGAGAATTGTGTGCAGTTCTGGTCACCGCACTATAGGAAGGATATGATTGTGTTGGAGTAGGTACAGAGGAGATTCACAAGGATGTTGCCTGGGATAGAGCAATTTGGCTATGAAGTGAGGCTGAACAGGCTTGTCATTTTCCTTTGAACAGCAAAGGCTGAGAGGGGACCTAATCAAGGTGTACAAGAATAAGGGGCACAGACAGGGTGGATAGAAAGCAACTGTTCTCCTTAGCTGAAGGGTCAATAACAAGGGGATAGAATTTCAAAAAGGTGAAAGGCAGGAGGTTCAAAGGGGACATGAGGAAATTTCCCTACCACCCCAAGAGGGTGGTGGGAATCTGGAATCCACTGCCTGGGAGGATAGTTGAGGAAGGAAACCTCAACTTTTAAAATGTTTACTTAGACGAGCACTTGAAATGTCATGACAAAGGCTACGGGCCAAGTGCCTGAAAGTGGGACTAGTGTAGATTTAGACTAGTTCTTTTGTTGCTGAAGATCTCTTCTGTATGATTCTAGAGGTAGTGGTAACCTGTCTTCTTAAACCACTGCAGTCCCTGGAATGCGGAGATACCTGCAATGATATCAAGAAGGAAGTTTCGGGATTTTAACCCAGCAACACAGTGAATGGATGACAAAATAGTACCAGGTCGGGATGGTGTATCGCATGGAGGGGAGCTTGCAGGTGGTAGTGTCGAGATGTATCAGCTGCTCTTTTCCTTCTAGGTGGCAGAGGTCACAAGTTTGGAAGGTACTCCGGAAGGATCTGTGGGGCAGTTGCTGCAGTAAATCTCCTAGAGTAGTGGATGGAATACCAATCGAGCAGGTTGCTTTATCCTAGATGGTATCAAACATCACTTGCCGTTGGAGTTGCACTTAGAGTTTGACTTGTGAATTTTTTTGTGTGCGAGAAGCTTTGTGGAGTCACAGTGTTAGGGGAATTCAGCAAGAGAAAAAAGTGTCAGTGGAAGTGAAGGGAAAACTACTGGATTCTCTTAGAAATGGTCATTATCTGGCACTTGTAGCGGCACAAGTGTTACTTGGCACTCATCAGCCCAAGCCCAAATGTTGTCACAATCTTGTTGCATGTGATCACAAACTCCTTCCTTATGCCATTTGTAAACTGGATTGAACATGATACAATCATATAGCTGTGTCTGATGCTTGAATGCGTAGAGATATGATATATAGAGTTGGAAGATTACAGTGCAAGAACAAAGTGGAAGGAGCTCCAGAAATAGTTAAGAGAATTTTCTTGGTGTGTTTCAGCCCACAAGAAAGAATGCAATGCTGGGCCTAATTCTCAGCTCTGAAGTGCAACAAGTGGAGCATGTTCATTGAAAGAATGTTTGGAAACAGAGATCAAATATTACTAGGTTTAGAGTAGTACATTCTCTTTGCCCATTACTATCAATTGTAAAAATACTCCAATGTAAGGGGGCTATTTACACAGTTGAAAAAAAGAAAAAGAAAGAAAGAGTTAGAGCTGCCGATTTGAAATCAAAGGCAAAGTTAAAACTGCAAAAGAACAGAGGAATCGCAAAGAGGTGGCAATTCAGAACCAACTAGACATTCCCACAAGTTTTAAAAAAAAAAGTGTCCAAAGCTAGAGCTCCTTTGATGTTTAAAAAGTGATGGATGAAAATCAAACAGAGGCTCAGGTTTACGATTAATTTTAGTTTCATAATAAGTGAAACAAGCTCAGAGCTGGGAAGAACTGAAAGAGAAAAATGAAAATTGCTTAGTAAGAAACATAAAAGCTAACACTGAAACCTTTTGAGCAATAGTAAATGGAAGGCTAAAGCAATTTATGAACCAAAAAATCTTCCTTGTGGAGGTAGAAACTATGGCTGAAGTACTCAATGAATACTTACTTCATATCTATCTTTTGAATGGTGAAGAAAATTTTTTGCATACAAAAATGTTCTCTCAACTTCATTGCTATATAGCAAACTTGGATGAACTGGTGATTTGTTTCCCCCCCACAAGTTAGTGCAGTTAAATGGTCACCAAACAAATAAAAAAGGCTGCTAATGTCATAGTAAAGAAGGTGGCCATAAAGGAAATTTGACAGACTAAAGAAAAACAAAGCACTTGAACGTCTTATAGGACTCAAAGTCAAAAGTAATCACCTGAATCATCCTGTATTGCTGTACAAGAGTAGAATAATAGAAGGGTCTGGCCACAATCCTCCTTAGCTATGGTTGTGACACCAGAAAGCTGGAGGACTGTAAATGTTAAACCCCTGTTCAAAATAGGGAAAATCCACTTAGATCAGTCAGCCTAATGCAAGAAGTACAGAAATTTTCAAAAGCAGTTATCCTGGCCAAAACTAATCACACCTTGGAAATGCATAGCTTAGTCAATGTCATTCTGCACAGATTTGAGATTAACTTGAAATTGTGTGATAATTCATCTTATGTACAAATTGTCTCTAAAACTACTTCATAACATCATGAACTGGTTAGTAAAAACGAATCCAGTGGAATCAAGGGGACAGTGCCAGCTCAGTCACAAAATTGGTTAAAAGGGCGTATGCAGAAAGTAACAGAGGTAATTAGTTGTTTTTCAGACTGGAGGAAGGCACACAGCAATGTGAGTAGGCAATAGAAACTTGAAAAGAAATTTTAAAAATTCTTTAGTTACAACTCTGTTCCACGTGCCATAGAGGAGACGACATAGAATAGTTTATCTTACCCTCACTTCTGCAAATTCGTGGAGGGTATTCATGGTTTTCTAAAATGTGCTTGTCGTAGATGTGAACTCAAGGTCTTGCCAAGTAGTTTCTGTGTGTTTTACGCTTATCTCGCTTTTACAGATGATGGCATTGGTACCATTGATCATTTTAATGTGGGGTAAAATGATCTAAACTAATTTAAGTCAACAGAGGACATAAAAATTTTGAAAAATAAATCAGTGAAGAGGATTGTAATTATTAGCAGACTTCAGAAGGACACAAGGACTGGTAAAATGGGAAGAGGCAGCAAATAAAATTTTCAGCCAGCAAATAGCAACACATTTTTCAGAAGTCCAAGTGCGAGTTTGTTTACCTCCGTTATAATTGCATCAATTCCTTCTATTTGTTTTTGTCATAAGACACTGCAGTACTTTTTAAAATGAGTTAATCTTCATAAATCAAAAGGTTCAGATTCATCTCATATTGTATTTTAATTTATAGTTTCCAAACAGTAAGTGTGAAAAGCAATAAATCAAAATATTCAAAAAGATGCACAGTCAATTCAGATAGATGACCAATGTTCTCATCAACGGAATTATATGGTGATATCATTTCCATATATTCATGCTGCAAGTTCAGTCTAGAGACCAAGCCAAAGTCATTCCATGCTAACCTTACTTTGGAGATGCAGAGTGACAAACTAGCTCTGCTGTGAAAGTGAGCACATAAAATGACCATTAGGATTGGAAGTAATTGAAGATAATTAGTCAAAAGAACTGTGTGACATAAAGCACTCAAGTCCCCATTTTTTGAAAAAAAAAGAACCATGCAACATTGAACCTTTTATTTGGTTATGACACTATAACAGAAGCTCCATCCAGTGAAAAAATAAGTGCACAACAGAATTTTACACAGCAGGTATGTTGTTAGAGTGCAAGTTCAAGATATTGCTGCGTTAGAAGTTAAATACAACCAGCAGGTTCAAAATAAACAAGAAAGTGTTGTTAGTTTTGGAGGATAAAATTCTGGCATGCTTTAAAATACCACAAAAACAGATTTTAAGAGACATTTATATCATAGCCGAATGTGGGACTCATTGTTTGAAAACTGGTCACTCTTAACCCCAGATAATAATGAATACATTTCAAATTCATTTTTGGCTGTAAAATAATTTCACACATCCCAAGGATTAAGAAAAATGAGCCACTGAAATTCAACTTACCTAATAGAGCACTCCTATCTACCTGCTAGTCATCTAGTGGTTTTCTTAGTACTCCATTATCTTGGTTTTGCTCAGTAAAATATGTCATGCTGTAAGCTGTTAATCAAAATGTTTCCTGCACCCTTAAACTCAAAATTGCAGTTCAAACTTTCTGAAAGACCTAGTTGCTAGTGGTTAATGCTAAATCTTAGTTAATGGCATAGCCAAGTTAATTAGTTTTAAGAATTCAAAAGGAAAAAAAGAGGGAACAATGGAGGTTGTAGATGAATGAGAGAACAGAAAAGAAAAAAGATTGGATTTAGAAAGCCAAATAAGGTAAAGGAAACATTTAGTATTTTAATTGTTATCTAAATATATGAATGTGATTGAACTCTCAAAAACAGTTCCCATGCTGGCCCAGAGAGATTGATTAGCAATACATCAAAAAACCTTGCATACTTGTATTTACCCCAATTAACTTTGTGGGAATATTAACGGACAATTGACTTGCAAAATGTGTGGCAGCTGTGGTTCAACTGGCAGCTCCCTTCAACCCCCTCACGTTTAAGCCAAAAAGGCAGTTCAAATTCCATGAGTCAACAAGGTGTAGAGCTGGATGAACACAGCAGGCCAAGCAGCATCACAGGAGCAGGAAAGCTGACGTTTCGGGCCTAGACCCTTGTTATCTCAGATTCTCCAGCATCTGCAGTTCCTACTATCTCAGTTCAAATTCCATTCCAGGATTCCAATACAAAAACCAAAGCTGACATTTCATAACATTATTAAGGTACCATTGCTAGAAAAAACATTAAACTCCATTCACCCTCTCAAATTGATAAAGATTCCCTATTGTTATTTTGAGCAGAATGGTTATCTGGTTATTAATCACATTACTGTTGTGGGAGCTTGCTGTACAACTTGATAGAGAGTTTCTTCCGTTGTAGCAATAGTTGATTACAAAAATACTGGGATATGCCGTGGTCGGGAAAGGTACTTCATAATTTCACGTCCTTTGTGTGTTCATAAAATTACAAGGAAGCTAAAGAAGAATGAATTTATGAAACGCTTAAATTGATCAAGTTCTGCAGATTCCCAAGTCAGCCTGTTTCTTGATCTGAATGTTTTGGCCCACGTGTATTTAATGTTCTACTTTGATTGAAACGCGCCACAATTCAAGTTCTTCCAGTGTTCTTTTGCACACCGACATTCAAAGAGGCACGAAAAACGCGTTATTGACACTGCTCCGTTCTTAACCAATCGCTCGGAATACTATCTAAGAGTATAGTAGCTGTTAAATGCGCACCTCAACACCGAATTACATCGTTTGCTAGAGTATACCAGCTTGATTAATCTTAGAAATTCTCAACCATCATATACTTACCCTCAGATTATTTTAAATCCAGCTTTCTGTTTCAAAGGAAATGAAAGACGCACCATTTACAATTCGTAAGTTTTGTTTTTCTTACTTTTCCTTCGCAATGTGATTTTAACATCAGCCGTTTCATTTAAAGGAGGTCTCGGTCAGCTGTTAGTGACGCTTGCCGCCATTGAGAGAGCATTTCGCGCTGCTGCCGTGAATTGGCGCTTCATTTGTGCAGGTTCTGTTTCTCGCTGCCCTTTTAAAGTTGTATTGAACTAATTCCCCAAACCAAATATTGCTGCGGTGTTAAATACACAGACATTACCAAAATAGTAAAACTCCTAATGGGCTTTCACATACTCTTCCCATAACACTCAAATAACTAATAAAGTTATCTAATACAAGAAAAGAGAAAATTAAGTATTCGTATTTGCAGGGTACTGTACTAGAAAATATGGCTCAAACAGGGTCTCTGTCCTGACAATAATACTGGATGTATGAACTTGTAAAAGCGAGATAAGCGTAAAACACACAGAAACTACTTGGCAAGACCTTGAGTTCATATCTACGACAAGCACATTTTAGAAAACCATGAATACCCTCCACGAATTTGCAGAAGTGAGGGTAAGATAAACTGTTCTATGTCGTCTCCTCTATGGCACGTGGAACAGAGTTGTAACTAAAGAATTTTTAAAATTTCTTTTCAAGTTTCTATTGCCTACTCACGTTGCTTGTGTGGTTAATGAACCCTGATTATTGAATTACACCCTGTAGCAAGTAGTTGTATTTCATTATAAGTGAAATTAAAGACACCATCACTAAGTCCAGACAGGGCTACCCAGCTGCGGGATTTGGGTTTTGTATATCTGATGAGGAACACAGAGATGGAGAGCAGAAAAGTGGTTGGGAATAGTTTTGTCATTGAATGACACCTCTGAACGAAGTAGGAAAACAGCATTTTAGTGATGTCTCACTCATAAACAACAACGAGTGATTTAATAAGTGGCACTTCAATCATTGCTCCAGAATCTATATATTTAATAGTTACGTTGAAAAACTATTCCATATTTACTTTTCAACGAGCTCTTTTTACGAAACAGCATTATTCTAATAAATTGCAGGATCAATCTCAACTGGACTAATTGAAAAGGTTAATAGCTTCCGGTTTATTTTGATAGGTTTACAATAACGTCTTAATTAAGGCTAAAAGAGTTTTCGCTTGATAATGGTAATATAAAACCCTAGGAAATAGTTGCATAATATTCACTGCAAATCAGGCGTCAATGGAGTAGATTCAGCATCGCACAGTGTAACCTGCTCGCCTCTCCTCGGCGCATCTAGTCGGAGGTCCCAACCCGTTAGAAAAGAAACGGTTTGTCTTTACCTCTAACGGTTTTATTCCATCCTCTTGTAATCAGCAGATTTAGGGAATCTGGATGTTCTATTACGTGTTTTGTTTTTCTGTATAAATAATATTGTCACTTTTTGAAACTGCCGAATCGTTTTACAAAAACAATTCTGAGAAACTCTCTCTCTCAAATGTTTCCAAAATTCGGCAATTAAAACCGTTTCGATGTGTAGACCCGCTTGGGCCGGGACGCGTGCACGGTGGCTGGTAAGCGCGTGCGCGCTGAGAAGGCCGAGCGGACAGAGTATACAACAGGAACGACATAGCACGGAGAAATTCGAGGTTTTTCCTCAACGAACATACGGTTTAAAAAAAACTGTATCAATGTACGTGTTCTTTTTTTCATTGTCACAGAACCAACGGCTTGAAATTCTATCCTTAAACATTACAACAGGGTAGTCTGTCGCTATCCTAGTCTGGAAGCACTCAAACTCCTCTGATCTCAGAATGCCTACTATGAATAACAGCGGCAGGATGTGCATGGTTATCTGAAAAAAGAAATTGGAGAGTTTATCAGCAAGATGTGGTGGGGGAGCTGAATGGAATAAGGAGCTCTTGCGGAGAGTGACCGCAAAATCAATGTCACTCTGCGCTGTAAGAATATATAGTACACCATTGCATTCTCAGATAATTTAGGAATGGGAAATATTTAAAGTTTTCGAGAAGATTTGCAGTTCGGGTTATGGATGAATTTATAGACATACTCGCTGAGGTGGTGGGTTTGGTTGCTCGGTAATATCGCCAGTGTGCCTCCAGTGAAGCGTCGGTGTTCTGTCCCACTTGTTATTTATATGCCTCGGTTTGCTGGGGTGGTTGGTGTTACGTCTGGTCCTGTTTCTCAGTGGTTTGTACACAGTCTAATTCCTTGTTTGTTGATGGAGTTCTGGTTGGAATACCAGGCCTGCAGGAATTCCCTGGTGTGTCTGTTTTGGCTTGTGCGATTATGGATGTGTTGTCCCAGTCGAATTCATCTCCCTCCTCTGTGTATAGTGAGACAAGTGAGAGTTGGTAGTGTCTCTTGGTGTCTAGTTGATGTTCATGTATCCATATTGTCAATTTTTCTTCCAGTTTGGCCTTTGTAGTATTTCTCACAGTCCTTGCATGGTTTTTTTGTATATTACCCCAGTTTTGCTGGTTGTAGGTATGGGATCCTTTATGTTTCACAGTAGCTGTCATAGGGTGGTTGTCGGTTTGTGGGCGACTCTAATACCTAGGGTCTGAGTCGTCTCGTGGTCATCTCTGAAATGCCCTTGATGTATTGTAGAGTGATTAGTGAGTCTGGTCGTGTTGTCTTCCTGTTGTGATCTGTCTTGGTGGTAATGGGCGATTGGTTTTTTTTTGTATCCATCCTTTTGAAGACTCAGTATAGGTGCTCCTGTTCTGCTTTGCGTAGTTCTGTGTTTGTGGCTCATCCAGATAGTGTCCTGATGCAGCTCCATTTGTGGGCATTGTGTGGTTACTGGTGTAATTGAGTACGTGTGGTCTTTCTATATACGCTAGTCTGGAGTTTGTTGGTTTTGCATTCTACCATCATGCCCAAGAAGGGTAGTCGGTTGTTCTGTTCTTTCGTGAATTTTATCCCGGTAAGGATGTTGTTTGTGTTGGTGGGTTTCTTCCAGTTTAGCGCGTTTTAATAATCTCAAAGGTGTCATCTACGTATTGGATCCAAAGTTTGGGTTGCATAGTGGGGAGTGCTACCCATTTTAACCTTTGCATTACTACTTCCACAATCAGTCCTGATATTGGGAATCTATGGTGTTACGTTGATTTTGTTTGTATAGGCTTTTGTTGAAGGTGAAGTGGGTTGTGAGGCACAGGCACACATCTAGTAGTTTCATGATGCTGTCCTTATTGATGTTGGTGTCCTGGGTTGCCTGATTTGTCCAGTGGAGTGGCAATCGTTTCTCTGGCTAGGCCAATGTTTGTTTATGGATGTAAATAGTGCTGTTACGTCAAAGGATATCATCACCTCGTCCTCTTCTATCCTGGAGTCCTTGATGTTGAGGAATTCTTGGGATGAGTGGATGGAGTGGGTGGTGTTGTCTACTAAGTATTTCAATTTCTGTTGTAGTTCTTTGGCAAGTCTATATGTTGGTGTAGCTGGCAGTGAGACAATGGGTCTGAGGCCCTCCTCTCCCTGGTTTGTGTTCCTAGGGGAGTCTGTAGAATTGGGATATATTGGATCTGCATGGTTTTTTTTTTTTGGTAGTCTATCTTGCTGATGTGTCTAGAGTTGTGTGATTTCTTCAGGGTCATTGTAATCCTGTTCCCTAACTGTGTCAGGTGGGGTATATGTAAGGATTAAAAATTGTGGTAGGAATGAAGCTCATTATTGAAGGTTCTCGCATAAGCCTGGGTATTGCTTAAGATGATGGTGTTTTTTTTTTTTTAACATCACTGGCATTACTTCTCCAGAAGATCAGCTGACTGGGAGCAGTTCCAAGTAATTTTCCAGCCACAGAATAGATTTAGACCAGTTAATCTATTTATCTTTTGCTTTGAATTTTCTTGCATTCTTGATTTCAAGAACAATTTTTTGAATCCTATTCATTTGTGTTTGGCACTTAGTTCAGCAAAATCAAATAAAATTTGTGCATTAGCATAAAACCAATTAGTCAAATTATTGCTTGACATTAAATATTAAAATGTCCAACTCTCTAAATATCTAACCTATGATATGATACTTGTTTTCTTTTCAGAAATTGATGAACTAATATAAATTTGAAAAATATGAAAAGATTTATGGGATTTGTGACTTTGATGTTTAGTTTGCCTAACCCTTTTCAAAGTGTTTTGTATATAAGAATGAAAAACTGATGCCTGAAGTGTGTGATAAATGTTTGCTGCTGATATTTGAGTTGTCACACCTAAAACTTAGATTAGTGCTCTTACCAATAAGAAGCAATGTCCATCATTCAAGGCAAAAGTTACTATTCTAAAATGTTTTACAAAATAAACATGGATCCATGTAAACTTTTATCTCAAATCACTTTAGCCAAATTGAAGCTGAGATCAGATGACTTATTCGAAGAATCATTATCACAAAACAAGGTCTAATAGTGGGTCAAACATTGCTGCAGGTGGAGTGCTTTGACGCTTCAATTGAGTTATGCTGTTCAATAGATTTTAGACCACTAAGGTTTTGGAGTAGATTTGTAGCTCTGGTTATGGTTGGTTGGCTCGCTGAGCTGGTCTGTTCTGCAGACAGCCCGTAGCATAGGACTTCCTAGAAGCCTGGTTCTCCACTAAGAAAGCCATCAATAAATATATAGAGCTAGACCACATATACAATCCATTATGAAGGAAAACCGGAAGTGAGGTAGTCCAGCTCAACAGACACCAGAGTTTAAATGACAGGTGGGAAAACACAACAATGCTTCATCAGAGGCTGCACTGCTGATGGTGATGAAACGTCTGCAGAACAGTGAACCAGCTCAGTGAGCTGACCATCTAAGAAAAACTCTAGGAAAATCCATGTAAAAAGCAGAGAAGTGTAGGGAAAGCAACCAATTATTTAGTTATTTGACAGGACAAAACCAGCAATTGAAGTTTAAACTTTCCTTCTAGGTACTATGAATGTGATTATGCTGACTTTCTCGAGGTACACCAGTGATGTAACTTGAGTTGGAAGTCTTTCACATACTGGAAAATCTGACCCATAATAAGTCCTGAAATTTCAATGCGTACAGGATGTGCCTCAGTAAGGCTTTCGACAAGGTTCTGCATGGTAGACTGGTTAGCAAGGATAGATTACTTGGAAAACAGGGAAGACTGGCTATTTGGATACAGAACTAGCTCAAAGATAGGAGAGAGAGGGTGACCATGATGGAGGCATGCTTTCAGACTGGAGGCCTCTGACCAGTGGTGTGCCAAATGGACCGGTGCTGGGTCTTCTGCTTTTTGTCATTTATATAAATGATTTGGATGTGAAAACAGGAGGTATGGTTGGGAAGGTTGCAGATGATACCAGAATTCCCCGGCATCTCCACAGATTTTGGTACAGCATGGTGGCTCAGTGATTAGCACTTCTGCTCACAGCACCAGGGACCCAAG